ACAATCAGAGCACAATAAAAGTAAGCTCTTATTAGGCACCGGCCATGAAATACCAGCCCTCAAGGATATTTCCAAAACCATGTCACCAAGTTCCCCAAAAGACCAGAAAAGGGTCCAAAAAGAACAGACTCCTTCTTGCCCCTTCCCTCCTGATGGCATGACTGTTCACTTGCAGACCATGCTCTACAGACCCATGTGAGTCCCAAGGGCAGCCCAGCAAAATATGCAACGTGAGGGGGCTAGAAAATCCTGCTTTCAGAGTTACAGAAAATTTAGTCTCTGGCCACTGCCATGACTGCCAGCCACTGTCTTTGGCAAGAAGGTGGGTGAGTCAAATGTAAGCTAGGACTTGGCAAGAGGACACTGGACCAGAAGGCCCCGAGGCAGGAAGCTCCAAAGGGGCCACCTGCTGAAGCAGTTTGTCTGCCACAGCCAGCCTTTATCTTCACAGAGGTACCTGGTATTCTACTGCCATTAGCAAACTCACAGAGCAGTGGACGGTTACAGAGCTCACCATCTGGGCTTAGTAACTGTGGAAACAAAATTGAGGAAAGGAGCTAGGCTGGAGACAAAATCACACACCTAATGCAGGGCCTTAACTGTATGGCAGATGGACCACAAAAAGATTGATATCAAATCACACTGCAACTGGACATCAGTGTCTCCCAGCTGAAGAGGCTAAGATTTGAGGACTGCAGTCCAAAGCCAGCCCAGGCAGGAAAAAGCTAAAAGTGAAGTTTTGGCTCAAATGGTAGTATTAAGTGAAAAGGCTCAAGGACAGTACTCAGACTCTGAGTTCAAGACCCAGTATGTGCGTGTATATATGTGTGTGTGTGTGCATGTATGTGTGAGCATGTGTAGTAGTATATTGTGTTGCAAAAGTTTTCATGGCTACCTTAAGCAAAATGGATCATATTTGTATGTAATCAAGTCTTTTTCCTATTTACAGTTATCTTGGTTTCCAAAGATATAACGAAACTCTTCATAACCAGGCATCAGTGGCTCATGCCTGTAATCCTGCCAACTCAGGAGGCTGAGATCTGTGGATGATGATTCAAAGCCAGCCTGGGCAGGAGAGTCTGTGAGACATTTCCAATTAGCCACCAGAACACTGGAAGTAGTGCTGGGGCTCAAAATGGTTGAGCCCTGGCCCTAAGGGAAAAAGGTCAGGAACAGGGCCCAGGCTCTGAGTTCAAAACCAACAACAAGAAAGAAAGAAAGAAAGGAAGAAAGAAAGAAAGAAAGAAAGAAAGAAAGAAAGAAAGAAAGAAAGAAAGAAAGAAAGAAAGAAAGAAAGAAAGAAAGAAAGAAAGAAAGAAAGAAAGGAAAGAAAGAAAGGAAGGAGGGAGGAAGGGAGGGAGCAAGGGAGGGAGGAAGGGAGGGAGCTAGGGAGGGAGGAAGGAGAGAGGGGGGAGAGAGGGAAGGAAGGAAGGAAGGAAGGAAGGAAGGAAGGCAGGCAGGCAAGCAAAGCAAGCAAAGAAAACTCTTCATGTCCATCTATGAGGAAGTAATTATTTATGCTAATTACATAGTTAGTTGAGCAACTATGTTGCATAGTAACTATGCTGCATTCCTCCCAGATGCCTGCAACTTTCCAAGTTTTAAACCACATGCCAGGGGAAACCCATCAGTTCCGGACAATTAGGATGGTTGCCCCCTTTACACTGACACTGTAATAAAAATGATGTGTATCCTGCAAACAGGAAAACAGAAGAGACACAGTTACAAATGCAGAAGTGATATATGCCAACTGTGTTTGTAGCAAGAGCTCCCAGTTCCTTTTAATAGTAGAAAAAGGTTCAAAACCACAGTGGCCTCTCCCTTCCCCCTACTTTTTACTTTCCCAAACAGTTAGAAAAAGACATACTCTTCTTTCTCTTGCGTGGCTTAGAGGTCACTGCTGGATTGACTGCTGAAGTGGCCAACCACCACCCAGCAGGACAGAAAATGTCATGGCCTGTTGTCACCTCTTACTTCAACCAAGACAACTTGTGATCCCTGTTACCAAAAGCAAGAACATGTCCTCAGACTGATCATCCAAAAGCTACTGCAAAAAAACCCAGATACACTCACAAAGAGGGTGTTTCAGGCAAGGAGAGAATGAAGTGACTGAGCAAGGGTTTCCCCTACAAACTACAGCAAGAAGTTTCCAAGAGATGAAGTGAAATGCTTAAAGAAAAGGTTGTTAAAATATAGGTAAGACTAAGAACCAACTTCTAAGAACTGAGTTTCAAATGAAAAGTAAGACTATATAAGGCAAGAAAGACCCATTTCCTGAAGCTTCAGAAGCCATCCCCGCCCACCACCTCACACACCACTTCCCCACCCAGCCTTCTCGAGTTTTAGCCCAAAACGGACTGGTGGTTTTAGGTGTTTTTGAATCTTAGAACTCCTTAGGATGGTTTTATGTATCAGGAGATAGGAGCAAATAAAAGTTCTACATCTCCTTCTTACTCTCCATAGCAATACTAGTTTACTAGGGGAAGGTAGGGGATGTACTCTTTAAAAGCCCTTCTCTGGTAAGTCCTGATGAATAACTTCCTTTCTTTCTAAGACCAATGATTCATTTTTCACTACGGCTTATCTTGATTTACAAACGGGTGCTTCTTTAACCCTTTCAACATATTCAGTGTAAGATGGTTATCTTACAACCTCTAACAGAAAGCATAGGAAGGCCAGAGACAGGAGTTAGTCCCAGCCCAACAGTTGTGATTTCTTTTGTTTTATTTTGGTTTTGTTGTTTTGTTTTTTCCAAGACCAGTACTCTAACTCATTATCTGACACTTTCACTCACTGCACCTAAACCATGCCTCCAACTCCAATAGATGTGATTTTTGAGGAAGATTTGCCCCCTTTCTCCAGATCTGCTTCTTCGCTTAGAAGACAAGTGATTCAGCTAGATCATCACATTTTTTTAACTAGGATTTTTTTTAACTAGGCCTTTACTTATGCTAGGCAGGCACTCTGACACTGAGCTAAACCTCTAGCACTATTTTGTGCTGCTAATTTATGCCCCCAGTGTTCGATCTAGTATAGGCTTTCATGGTAGCAGGATGACAGGTGCACATCATTGCATTCAATTATGGAATAAGAAAGGGTCTTGGGGGGTAAGGGGGGGGGGTCAGGGGGTGAGTTACTGCCCAGGCTGGTCTTGAACTGTGATCCTCCCATACTTGATCTTCAAGTAACTGGAACAACAGATGTGAGCTATCAGCATCCTGCGCAGGCTAGATCATCTTTAGCATCTTTGCAACTCTAAAGTTCTATGTGAAATTCACATCTGTCATAATAATGCCTTTCAGCACCCTTTTTTATTTGAAGATTTAGGAATTTGTAGACTAGGAGGGTAAGGTGTACCAGCGAACAGGACAGGACAAAGACACATTAAAACTGTCACATATCAAACAAGCAAATGTCTAACAGTCATTGAAATTTGTGAACAAAGGTAGAGGAAATCCTAGTATCAATTTACTCCAGTCATGAATGCTTTGGAATCTGTGCTAAACAGATTCATCACAATTATCAATTGCTCTTCCTGAACAACTTAACAATAACATGAATTTAAACTCAGTGATTTCTGTACCCTTCCAGAAAAAAAAAAGGATGAATACTTAGGTAATACAAACCTAAGATTACTTTTAATTCCATTTTTATTGTGGTTATAAAGGTGATGTACAAAGGGGTTACAGTTACATAAGTCAGGTACACTACTTTTTGGACAATGTCACCCCTTCCCTTGCTGTCTCCCAATTTTTCCTTCCCATCCTCACCCACAAATAAACCTGAGTTTTCACCTAAATGGCAGATCGAATCCTTGCAAATCATTGGGGGTATTCAGTAACACTAAAACGTCAGGATGTTCTGGCTGGATACTAATTAGCAAGGCTTTTAAAGGCAACCCAGTTGAGAAATTTGAGGTGTTGAGAAACAAGGGTTTGACCCTATGTGGGTTTGACCCTATGTGTTAAAGTCAAGGCTGCCTCTCAGCTAGAGCCCAAAAGAGTGTTCATGTCTTTATTCATGAATAAAGAGGGGCAGGGAGGACCAAACTGTTTCCTCTTCTTTCTCCGCACCCCCACCCCTCCCACACACACACACACAAGAGCTGCGAAGAGTTTGTCCTGCAGCTCGGTTAGGCGCCTGTTAGTGTCCGCGTCCTTTAAAAGCAGCAGAAATCCTGCCCAGGGTTTGGACAGAGCGAGGCTCCATCCCACAGTCCATTCGGACTCAGGTGCTCAGCGCACTCTCCACCCGAGGGCTCCAGCGCTGCCCGGTGTGCCGGCTGACCCAGCTGATGGAGCCCGGCACGGGGTGGCCGGGCATCCGGCGCCCGGCGGAGCGCAGCCTCCGACCTCACTGCACCCGGTACTCAACCCCGGCGAGCGGCGCCGCTCCCCGGGTCCCCGGGCAACTAAAGAGGAAGTCGGGCTGTCCGGATCCAACGGGTCAAGACTGCCGACCCACACGGTGTGGCCGGGTCTCGGGCTGGGTTTGGGAGGGGTCCCGGCTTGTGACCCTTCCTCCCCCCTCCCCTCCCTGCGCCCACCTTCCCTAACCCTCCTGCTGGCGCGGGACACGCAGCGGCGGGGTGCGGAGGGAGCCACAGGCTGGCGGCGCCCGAGCTTGCGCAGCTTGTGGGGTGGAAGCCGGAGGGAGCACCGGAGGGAGCACGAGGAGGGGGGAGACGCCTCCCCTCCCCCCTGCCAGGCCACCGCCACCCGCGTCCACCGCACCCGGCGCGCACACACCCCCTCCCCAACCCTGAGAGCACGCGGGCGCGCGCGCAGGGGCGAAGGCCCAGGGCGGGGACGGCGCAGCAGGAGCGGCGCAACCACCCCCGGCCCGGCCCCGGGCGCCCGGCGGCTGCACTCGCTCCTCCCCGCCGTCCAGAGTAAACAGCTCCGGGCGCGCTCCGCGCCGCGCCGCGCCCCCATCCCCCCGCGGGCGCCGCGCCGCCCCGCCCGCCCGCCCGCCCGCCCGCCGGCACCGCCGCCCCCTACCTGGTCGGTGAGTTTGAGCACTGCCATTCTTCCGCTCCTTCGCGCGCACCCACATCCAAGGTCCCGGGGCCGCAGATGTCACGCACCAGAAGCCGGGCCCGCGGAAGGGATCGCCGGGGGAAAGGGGGAAGGGGGGGAGAATCTGGCACCCGAATTTGACAGCCCTCCCCTGCTGCTGCTGCTGCCGCTGCTGCTGCTCCTCCTCCTCCCACCGCGTCCCTCCTCCTCCTCCTCCCTCCTCCAGAGGCTGACACTGGCTAGTGGGGTTTGCAGCCCAGCCCGCCCGCCTTTATACAGGAAGTGCCGGCTGCTGCCAGCCCGGCCGCCACTGACATCACCGCGCGCTGCCTCGCTCGCTCGCCGCCGCCTGGGCCGACGCTGCCTCCTGCCGCCCGCAGCCGCGCCTCGCAGCCCGCAGCCCCCGGCGCCCCTCCGCGCCCCTCCGCGCCCTGCGCCCGCTCCCCCGCGCGCCGCCCTCCTCTCCCGCACCTGTACCCGCAGCACCCTGCGCCCCGCCGGGGATGACTCCGAGCGCCCCGCCACCGCTAGTCCCGCTCCGGACCCCACCCCCGATGGCTGTCACACACAATGACAGCACTGATGGCCAAGCCCGAGAGGACACGCAGCCCCCCCCCCCCGGGAGCAAGAAAGGTAGGCCACTCAGGCCACCAAGTTGCCCGTGGGAGACTGCGTCACACCCCCTTCCCTGAGCCTTCCTCCCCGCCCCCACACCCGGAGTTAGAGGTGTTCCAGCCCTGCAAATCAGCCCACCTGGCGCAGGAAAGGCGATTTTGATCCTCTTTGTTTAAGGCATCCAGGCCCTGGGCACATTGGGGTTCTTTAGCGAGTGTTTCTCAAGGCCTGGGTCGGGGAGGACCCTTCCACCATTCACCTTCCCGGCTAAATCCCCTACAAAGCACCTGGGGTTGGGGTTGGGGGGTGGGGGGGGCGGTCTACACAGAGTTACTGAAGAAGCCAAGCCGTCCTGAGTTACCACGTTGACAGGGCTTTGAGCCTTTTTCTCCAGTCCTGACTGACTAATATGGAATCCAAAGTTAACCATGCTCTCCCACAGGAAAAAAAAAAAAAAAGACACCTGTCAAACAGTGTGGAATGCACACATTATAGTAACAGAATCACAGCAAGCGCTGGCACTGCTGGATCTTAGAGCACACCACTTATTCATTGAACAACGATGCACTGAGTGCCTGCTTTGTTTCACACACTGGCTAGTCATGGAAAGAAACAGGGAATATAGACAGATCAGATCCCTGCCCCAAGAGGGTGCTGACAGAAGTCACAAAGTCACTGCTACTGAATGTGTGTGAGAGAGATAGGGACGCTTATAAGAAACACTTGTGGGGGGGGCGGTAAGAGGACACTGGTAGGTGAAAGCAGGCTTCCATAGAAAGGGAGTTGAGGTGTGTCGTGTGAGAAGCAGTGATTCCAGCAAAAATCAGGCCTGCACTGATAGCTCCTGCCTCTAGTCCTAGCTGCTCAGGAGGCTGAGATAAGAGGATCCAAAGTTGAAACCAGCACAAGCAGGAAAGTCTGTAAGATGTTTATCTCCCCTTCCCACCAAAAAATCAGGAAATGAGATGTAGCTCAAGAGATAGAACACCAATCTTGAGCCAAAAAGCCAAAGCCAAGTAAGAGAGTGAAGCCCTAGTTCAAGCCCCAGTACTGGTACAAAAATTAAAAAAAAAAAAAAAGCAAATCTTCAGGCCTTCAGAGCAGAACTGCTGCCCAGCAAACTGAAGTTATAGAGTTCCTGGTCAAGACTAAACACCTCCCTCTACAGGTCATTCACAAACCCACTGTGGACTCTTCCTACATTTCCCATGCCTCCCCAGAGATTTTAAATGAAAAGGAGGTGAAGAGAGTGACAGCATTTACTTTGAATCCTTGCATTTATCATCCAACCACTTCTGGAGAGGGAGACTCAAGTCCTAGAGATCCTCTTACTCTTCCTATAACTTGTGATACCAAGTCTGCAGACAAAGAAAACCAAAGAAGCATGTACCTGCCTCCTGCTTCCTGCCTCCTGGCCTCCTGGCTTCCCTTCTATATCACCAGTGATGAACAGTATCTCCAAGACCCCTCTCAAATACAACACTGATTGCATTCATTTAGTCATTCATTCATTTATTTAGGTGCTAGTCCTGGGGTTTGAACTTAGGGTCTGGGTGCTGTCCCAGGCTCTAGAGATTCTTTTGTTTTGTTTTTGGTCAGTTGTGGGGCTTGAACTCTGGGCTTGGGCATTGTCCCTCAGCTCTTCAGCTCAAGACAAGCACTCTACCACTTGAGCTGCAGCACCACTTCCGGTTTTCTAGTGGTTTATTGGAGATAAGAGTCTCACAGAGTTCCTTGCCTGGTCTGGCTTTGAACTGTGATCCTCAGATCTCAGCCTCCTGAGTAGCTAGGATTACAGGCATGATCAACCAGCGCTCAGCTGCCCGTGAGATTCTTTTGCTCAAGGCTAGGGCTCTACTACTTGAGCCACAGTTCCACTTCCAGCTTTTTGGTAGTTATAGATAAGAGTCTTGTGGACTTTCCTGCTGGAGCTGTCTTTGAACCAAGATCCTCAGATCTCAGCCTCCTGAGTAGCTAGGATTACAGGCATAAGCCACTAGAATTGTACAGTACATTGGAAGAGTAATAGCATGAATATTCTGGTAGGTAGACATGGTGGCGGGAGATGCTCTGATTTCTGTAGTGGTGGGGTCCTGGAATGGCAAATAACAACACTTAACTTGGTAGCTGAAAAAGTAGTGTTCAAAGGTGTTGCCTACTCCGGGGACATTTGACAATGACAAGGACATTTGACAGAGGCCCTAGAATTTAAATATGTGGGCAGATTTCTGAGATAGCCCTTGAGTGATTGATTGATTAACTGATTGATTTTGTACTGATCCTGGGACTTGAACCAGAGCCTGAGTAGTAAGTGCTTTCCCTTAGCCTTTCCACTCAAAGCTGGTACTCTACCACTTGAGCCACAGATCCACATTTGGCTTTTTGGTGGTTTATTGAAAAGTCTCACAGACTCTCCTGCCTAGGCTGTCTTTGAACTGTGATCCTCAGATCTCAGCCTCCTCAGTAGCTAGTATTACAGGTGTGAGCCACTGGCACCTAGCCCAAGCACTTGATTTTCCTAACAGGCAAAGCTCCAGGCCTGCCACCTAAAGCCTGAATTGAGCCAGCAAAATAAAATCATCTACTGGAGATAAGGCTTCAGTGGTAGAGTGACTGCCTAGCCGGTATGAGGCCCTGAATTCAAGCTCAAGAACCCTTAAAACCAAAACTAGAAGTCATCCCTCTCATGCATTCTCCATATCTAACCCAGGAAATAGACACGGAGCCCTCAGTTGAGAAGTTGGCACCTTCCAGGAGGACTCTGCAGCATGATCATAAATACAAACGATAAATCCTCAGCCAGGCCTTTCCACAGAGAACCCCACTGTCATTTCCTAAAGTGACCTACTACTAGGTAAAAGGGAATACCAGACATTTCAGGGACTACTAGACTCTCTAAATTCATGCTAATTCTGAGGTACCAAAATACCAGTGGGAAAAACCATCAATGTGGAGATTTATGATAGGTGATAAGTGGAACTTTCATCAAGGCATAAATCACTGCGTATGTAGTACTCTGTAGGTCCAAATTACAGTAGTGTATTTGCTCAATTCCTGAATGAATAAAAGAATAGGCTTACTCAGTAACTGGCAGAATTATCACATTACTTCTGTGACCCAAAGTGAAGACTATTTGGTAGAACAGGCCAAAGGAAAACCTTTGGAATATCTTCTTGCTACAAGAATATGAAACCAAAAGCAGGGCCTGGGAAGGTGGCTCAGTGGTAGAGTGCTTGGCTTGCATGCATAAGGCCCTGGGTTCGATTCTTCAGCACCACATAAGCTGAAAAAGGTGGAAGTGGCGCTATGGTCCAAGTGATAGAGTGCTAGCCTTGAGCTGAAGAGCTGAGGGACAGCATCCAGGCCCAGAGTTCAGGCCCCACGACTGACAAACACACACACACACACACACACACACACACACACACACACACGCATGGACGCATGCATGCAATCCTGGAGAATGTAGAAATCAGTACAACCATAAGATGCAGGGTGGTGACACAGTCACACCCCCATTTAACTCGCCTGTTTGACCTATGCATAAGGCAAATGGATCTTAGATAACAACTATGAATTCTTGTTGGCTTCATCAGAGAGAAATACCAGGTGCAACTGCTGTTCTATCTGTGCCATCTTTACTGCCACAAATCACACAAAGTTTGCATCTGTTACTGTGAAGAAAACTTTTTTTTTTTTTTTTTTGCCAGTTGTGGGGCCTGAACTCTGGGCCTGGGCACTGTCCCTCAGCTCTTCAGCTCAAGGCTAGTGCTCTACCACTTGAGCCATAGTGCCACTTCCAGCTTTTTCTGCTATATGGTGCTGAGGAATCGAACCCAGGGCCTCATGCATGCAAGGCAAGCACTTTACCACTGAGCCACCTTCCCAGCCCCCTGTGAAGAAAACTTTTAAGAAGTTTATTCCAAGCCAGGCACTGGTGGCTCATGCCTGTCATCCTAGCTACTCAGGAGGCTGAGAGCTGAGGATCACAAAGCCAGCCCAGACAGAAAAATCCATGAGACTCTTATCTCCAGTTAACCACAGAAAACCAGTAGTGGTGTTGTGGTGCAAAGTGGTAGAGCACTGGGCTGGGAAGGTAGCTCAGTGGTAGAATGCTTGCCTTGCATGCATGAGGCCCTGGGTTCGATTCCTCAGCACCACATAAGCAAAAAGAAAAAAAGCAGGAAGTGGCGCTGTGGCTCAAGTGGTAGAACACTAGCCTTGAGCTGAAGAGCTGAGGGACAGTGCCCAGGCCCAGACTTCAGGCCCCATGACCGGACCCAAAAAAATAAATAAATAAAAAATAAAAGAAAGAATTCATCTTTACAGTCTTGTTTATGGAACTTAAACTCTCCCAATTTCTGCCCTAATTGTACAGACCTTGTTTGCTATGCTAAAGGCATTGAACTAATTGAGCCTGATGAACAGGAAATCCATACATTAGATACCAAAGACACAAATAACCAGAGGGTGGAGTGTAAGCCTAAAAGGAAATTCACCTTAGTGAAGTTTTGGAAGTCTGGAGATCTGGAAGCTGTAAAGTAAAACACAAATTGCTGTGGTCTGGATATAATCTTGAGTGTCTCCAAAG